TAAATAAAAAATAGCTTGTAATGAAAACTTAAAAAAATTTAAAATAAACAGAGCTTGTGAATTAAGGGCCTACACAGATTGGCCAAATAAGAAACTTTATGAGAAAAGAAAACAAATCTTATTTGTTTTACGCAGCTTTAAATGATCTTCCAAGGTGCAAGAATGGTGTAGTCAGCATCATGAATACAACATTGGAATGAGAGGAGAGCAGGATTCATTAATGCAGAATTCCACATAAAATCTACTAGGAACTGATGGAGAGAAGGAATACAGGATGTTCAGCAGCAAGTGAAGTCCAAGTTGATGCTCAGAGTGAGTTTAAAAGGAAGATTTTTCTCAGACCAGGTTCAGAGATGTGAGGGGCAGAAAACTGTAGTCACAGAAATGGATTGTACAGTGCTTGAGCAAAAGAGAGGCAAAAGTAGAATGCTTTGCTGTTCCACATTTACAAACAGACTCATTTGAATCATCCCATGAGCCCATGCTTCTGTGTCCAAACAAAACATACATGCACATTACTGCACAATATCAAGCAGGGTGATAAAAACCTGAATATGGGAGCGATCCTGCTGTAATTAAGATCAATGGGAGTTTCGCCTCAGACTTCAGTGGGAACGGACCTTTTTTTCCTTAAAGTGGGTCTGCTGATTCAGTTCGTTTTCTGAAACACCAACCCTTTGACATAAATAAATTGCACACATCAAGGGCCCAATCCTGTTTCCACTGAAATCAATGGAAGCTTTGCCATTGATTTCAATGGGATCAAGAGCCCAATCCTGCAATCAATAGGTGTGTTTTGCCTGAGTAAGGATGAATAAAGACTGTAGAACTAAACCTAAATTATACAAGCCCGTTTAAAGAAAAATGCAGAAAAGAAGCAGAGAAGATAAAAATGTGAATTTAGAGTGGTTTCCATTCAGTTGTTTGTTTCAGTTGGAGCTGGACTGGGTCCATTGGAGCTTTGCCCAAGTAAAGATTGCAGGATCAAAACACAATCATGTCATACATCTTGATTATACAGATCCATATAAAGATTAGTGGGGAGGAAAAAGGCAAAAAAGATGAGACTATGAACTGTCTGGTGACTTCTTTTCAGCGGCTGCTTCGAAAGCAGACCTTCAGTTACTAACTCCTTCTTAAAGATAAACAAAATTGTTGACTGTACAAATTGTCATACCTAAGTATTAATTGATTCTACTTTTTTGCTGTCTTCTCCCCACACATCTCACCCATTTCCCCAGCCCAGGATTATGTATTTCTTTAGAAGCACCAGCAAATCAGAATTTATTGTACATATGTTTGTGTTCCACTTAATAAAAAATATACCTATATTTTCAGATAAACTTTGTTAGTAATTCATGAGGTAAGTGACTATTTATGCTAATAAGGGAGAAATATATTCTAAAGCATAACGCATTACATAAATTTGAATGCAAAATGTTCAATTATGAAGTAAATACAGGTAATGCAAATAGTAAATTACATCTAATAAAATATATATAAAGAATGTGTCTTCAAAGAGAAGCTTTTACTTGCATCTGTGAGTTGTTTAAAGAGAAAAGAATTAATAAGTACTGAATTACTATGTTGATTATTTAGCTCATAATTCACCTATCTGTAATGACTCCTAGTAATCAGACTGTTTCATGTCCTCGAATATAAGGCAGGACTGTTTCCTCAGCAATTTTATCCCTATCAGATTATCTTGTCTGATTCTATTAATTCTCTCCCATAAATCTGCTAACAGTGATTTGTGATTTACTTACCCTGTTAACTGATCTGAAGACTGTTAAAAGGATTTATCTAGCACTGCACCTAAGAGCAGTTTATGGCTTATCATTCTGTTACTCTGAGGCAGTCTTTCTGAAATCAATTTGGTTGGTTTCATAGTTAAATTCAGCGGACACTGTTTAGTTCTGCACCATAAAATAAGATACTAGATAAACAAAAGGTGCAGTGACTGTACTTAATGTGTTGTCCTTGATATGTGTTTGTTTAAGTTTATAACAAATTACCCTTAAAGTCAATATAATTCATAATCTGCATGTTACCTTTTTTATAAACCTCTTTTATACATAAAAAATATATATATACACACACACACTTTTTTACTTAACTAGGAAAGCTCTTAATACACAGTTGAAGTTCCTGTACCAATGTAATCCAATTAATGTGTATTTTGATGTTTAATGTTTCACATTCGACTGCATGGTTTGTCCCCCAAAAAAAAAATCTTACAGAAAATATACATCAGTTTAGGAAAGCTTATGAACCTGGTCAATAACTAGTGAAAATAGGGTTCTAAATTACATTAGCAGAGGTTTCTAAAAGCAATAGATATCAAGAGCCTGTTAAAAGAACCATATAGTTCTTACTCTGCTTGGATTAGGACAGGATTGTAACAAACAGTGCTAGGAAAAGGGGGCAGTCTGAGAGAATTTGGCCTGCAATAATTGTGGAAAATGGAAGGCTGAATAGCTCTAATTGAAATGAAAGTGTGTGATTGTTATGAAAGAAACACTGTTAATAGAGGAGTGTAAATGTTTAGACACCCATTGTGAATAGCCAAATAATCAAGAAAAATACTACAAAAATGAGAATTATATGGTGTTGGGAGGGGGGTGTCGCTTTTGAAGGTTATCAAAAATTACTAATCTTTTTTCTCTGGTGTGCTGAACAATAGACATTTTGGCGTGGCAGTCATATGTAATAGTTAAACAAGGACAATATTGTACAACCAATAATTTTACTTGATGTTCTAGCAGGTCAGGGCTCCAGATTAATTTACAGCACTTGCTTATATTGGTATCAATTCAGAAAAAGTGCCTATTAGCACATACCATTTCATACTCTGCCTATAGTTTAGAGTTTACTCAGTAAAATTCCTAGTTTGCAAATGTAGCACATTAAATCCTCATGTCCAAACTATTTCATAGGTCTGACAATGTATTTCCTCAGGCATCTATAAAATGGGCCAGTGAAATACTACAATTGTAAATTCTGAAAAGCAATAACATTTTTCATTTTAAAATATTAACACATATTTTGTCTAATAGGGAAGAACGTGAAGTGATATACTGTACCACAATCATCTTGCTCAAGAAGAAAACCAAACATAGGGAATTGGATTATCCTTTGCAGATTTATGCTAGGAGCCAGTGACTTTTGTTGAGTACAACAATGTCAAAAACAGGAAAGCAAGCCCGAGTAGTTAAGTTGTATTAACTTTGCCACAAATAACAATCGATGCTGAACAGATGTCCATAGTTATTGTTCTGCTGTCAAAATAGTTACAGAAAATGTTTCTAGACTGAGTTATCTTTACAAATCTATGGTATGCTAAACTTCTTTTAAGTGTCAGTGGCAATATAAACTGTATGACTTTCAGATGCTAATATTGGAGCTGATAATCATAATGGCATAATCATGAGATGTTATCTACTGTAAACCTACTACCTATGTCCTACTTCCCAGGTGGAGATTCTTTGGCTTTTGAAAATGACAATTTCCACAACTGGTGGAAAAAAATATGGAGTAATATTCTTGGAATTGTTATAAATAGCGAATTATGAGAGGCAGGAGAGTGAGAACGCAGGGGAAGAAGAAAGGTTCTGAAGTGCAATGTTCAATAAGCTGGTTTAATATATGACTAAGTGTCAGAAGTCAGGTTTCTGAGACTTACTTCTCAGATAAACAACTTTATAGCACTGCACTTAATCTTACTTACTACAGACAACTCATTTATCACTGAATTACAAGTAACTTTAATTCTATTGGTACTGCCATAAAGTCAGTTGAAAATCAAGGCTAGCAATTTTAAAGATTTCTTTTTTGTCTTACTTCAGGATACCACAAAAGGACCCTGTGCAGAAACATTACCAGCATAGCCCCTTGTCTCTTCCCCCTTTGTTAAACTGCGAAGCCAGCTCTTTAGACCGGGTGACTTGGTTGCCTTTATTGCAGTAGCCTAGGGAACGGCCTGATTGGCAGGCACGAGAAATCCACCGCTGTAAAAGTTAATGGGCTACATAAACTTTTCTGCACTTACACTACAAGAAAGCTGGTTGATCAACAAAACTGGACATGGATCAAGATTAAACTGACCTTTGCCGAAAGGTGGCGCTGTCGAGGTTTAAACCAAGCACATCCACCGTGGTTTTCACTCTTCCTTCCCAATTTGCTTTCCGTTTTTACAACAAAAAAAATTAAAATAAAATAAATATAATTAGCTCTAAATGTATTAAATTAATTAAACAGATCAACAGTCTAAAGGGGCGCGGCTGGGGATCTGCATGCAATAGCTGCGTTTATAGATAGAGACAGATCTTTCCTAGCCCCTCCAATCCAAATCTCTTCTCCCAAACTTGCCCCCTCTTTAGAATCTGAGCCTACACTGGAGTTTAGTTTGATTTGTTCGCACAAGGTCAAACAGCAATCGATTCGGGGGCGGGGGGTCGTTATCAGCACTAAAGTGGGGACAGGAGCCCCTGGTCGGGTGGCAAGCCGCTTTGCTGAACGTGTAACCCCTGGGTGATGTAGGATAGATGTGGGAGGGCTGAATGTCACGATCAAGTACAAAGTTATTCACTTTAACGTGAGCGTGCAAGTGGCCCGAACCCCGGCTAGGCGGGGATCAGATGATACTTTGCGCGTGCACGAGACAGGAGGCAAAGGCCACGGTGTGGCCGAAGTCTGCAGGAGGGATCTCTCGGCTTTGCTGAGCTCCTCCACTGAGTTAACTCTTCCTAGCCTTTGTGCTGCTGCTGCTGCTGGCTCTGCTGTTAGTTTAGCAGCCCTGCTGGGGGGACGGGACCAGAGTTTCATTTGCTCCCTTCATCAACATGCCCCGAAAGTAAGTTTCTCTATGATGGACCCAGTGTCTGTCTCTTTAGTCCAATATCTCAAAAGGTGCCTGCCCCCTCGACAGCACATCCTTAACTTTACACTTACCTTCGCTCCCCATTTCCAGACTCCCCTCCCAAACCCACCCCGGCCTTTTAGCAAAAGTCCCTGCGTTTCTTGGTAGACTCTTTCCCCACAGCAAGAGACGGGCCTCCTACCCCTTCCGCCCGAGGATGGTTTAGGTAGGATCAGTTGTTTTATTAAACAAAAAACAAAAACGTGCACTATCAGAAACAAGTTACCTAACAAAGCTGTCACATATAAATGCTTAAGCATGGCATGCAGAGAAAGAGAAAACTGCAAGAGTTTTAAGGAGGCTACGTTTATGCTTTCCTTTTAAAAACAGTGCAAAAAAAGAAAGAAAAGGGAACAAAGCACTGAATTTCCTGAATTCCCTAATATTTTCTCTCTTAACTCAGGTGATAAACATTAAGCCCATGTGAAAACGAGTGCAAGGATATGGTCAAGAAAGAGTTAAAAGTGTAGCCCCAGCTGACAGTCAGCTGATTGGCCCCTGATTGACAGCTTCGAAAAGTTTCCTTGTTTCTATACTATTATGCTAATGAGGGCTGAGATTGAAGCAACCCATTGGTCCAGACTTGGAGTCAATTTCCCATTTGAAAGCTGACGTCAGGACTGCTATAAAACTCAGCAATGCTTTTAAACTCTACTGCTGGATGAGACCTTTAAAATGTTTTTCATCTTCTTGCTGTAGCTTTGGGGTTCCGTTTTTTCTTTCTTTTTTTTTTTAAAGAAAAAAATATTATTTTGGTTATCGCGCCGACTTAATTTCTTCTGTTTGTTTTTTTTTGTTTTAATTTATCCTTCAGTCTTTTCCCCCGCCTCCTCTTCCCCGATGAACCTCTTCTCGGTTTGCACTTTGCATGAAAAAGACCAGAGGAAAGACATGATGAAGTGTTAAAAAATAATCATAAAGCCACCTTTGCAGCAACAACAACAACTAACAATTCCAGCTGCAGTTTGCCAAGCTGCAACAGAGAGGAAACAACCTTTATGCAAAAGGCGAATAGAAAGAGCAACCCGCTCTGATGCATCATCAATACTATAGGCTCTGCAAAGGATAATAAAGAGAGAGAGAGAGAGAAACAGTCGGTGCAAATTGGAGCGAAGGTTGCAAGGGGCTAGTGGAGAGAGAGAAGGAAAATAGATATTGCAAATAATCAAGCTGGCTCACCCGGTGGCAACTCAGAGCAGTCCCCTCGCTCCGGGTGCGCACCCTTTCTGGAGGACTGTCAGCAGCAAAAGGATGGCATCAGAACTGGCAATGAGCAACTCCGACCTGCCCACCAGTCCCCTGGCCATGGAATATGTTAATGACTTCGATCTGATGAAGTTTGAAGTGAAAAAGGAGCCGGTGGAGACCGACCGCATTATCAGCCAGTGCGGCCGCTTGATCGCTGGGGGATCGCTCTCTTCCACCCCGATGAGCACGCCCTGCAGCTCGGTGCCCCCTTCCCCGAGCTTCTCGGCGCCCAGCCCGGGCTCTGGCACGGACCAGAAGACCCACCTGGAAGATTATTACTGGATGACCGGCTACCCGCAGCAGCTCAACCCAGAGGCGCTGGGATTCAGCCCCGAAGACGCGGTGGAAGCGCTGATCAATAGCAGCCACCACCAGCTCCAGAGCAGCTTCGATGGCTATGCTAGAGGGCAGCAACTGGCCGGCACGGGGGGCTCCGTGCCCGGGGAAGAGATGGGCTCTGCCGCCGCCGTGGTCTCCGCAGTGATCGCTGCAGCCGCGGCTCAGAACGGGGCGCCCCACTACCACCACCACCACCACCCGGCCGGGCACCACCACCACCAGCAGCCGGGCAGCGTGCAGTCCAGCAGCAGTAGCAGCAGCAGCAGCAGCACCGGGGGAGGAGGTGGCGGAGGGGGTCTGCACCACCAGCACCACAGCAGCAGCCTGCATTTCGACGACCGCTTCTCGGATGAGCAGCTGGTGACCATGTCGGTGAGGGAGCTGAACAGGCAGCTCCGAGGGGTGAGCAAGGAAGAGGTGATCCGGCTGAAACAGAAGAGGAGGACCCTCAAAAACAGAGGCTATGCCCAGTCCTGTCGCTTCAAGAGGGTCCAGCAAAGGCACGTCCTGGAGTCAGAGAAGAACCAGCTGCTGCAGCAAGTAGAGCACCTAAAGCAAGAGATCTCCAGGCTGGTCCGGGAGAGGGACGCCTACAAGGAAAAATATGAGAAGCTGGTCAGCAATGGCTTCAGAGAAAACGGATCCAGCAGCGACAACCCTTCCTCTCCAGAGTTTTTCATGTGAGTTCCAACAGCCTTGCCACCTTAAATAAAGTTCTCCATGTGAGTTGTTGTTGGGGGCTTGCTAGATCAACAACCAAGCTTGCCACCTTATATTTTTTTAAACTCGAAACAATTAAAAACAAACAAACAAAAAAACAACAACAAAAAAGTTGTTTTTTTAAGGTGGGGCTGGCTCATTGTTGGCCAACCTAAAGTTCTACATGAGTTTCTTTTCTGTTTTATTTTTGTGGGGGCTTGCAATGTGTGTTTTTTTTTTAAACATTATAAGATCCAACTTGCCACCAACTCAGTTCTTCATATGAAGTTTGTTCTTCTTTGAAACCTGCCATCCACATTATATTTTTTTAAGTTCATGAGGTTTTTTTTTTCTTTTGACCTTGCTTTTTTCAAAAAAGTAAAAGGGTTTTTTTTTTTTAATCTTAAATTTTTAAAAAAAAATTTAACTTTACAAAAAAAAAAAAAATAATAAAAAATAAAAAAAACCAAAAAACATACAAAAAATACAAAAACAATGTGAATTTTTTAGACTCCAGCTTGCTGAGTTCCATCAGTTTTTAGCGTTGTTGTGCTAAACTAGAGATATACCTAGATCAACCTGCCAAAATCAAGCCTGCATCAGCCTTCGGTGTGTTCATGTGAGTTTTGGCCTTAATCTGCCAAACATGAGACTTTTAGTCTGCCATTAGATCCCATACTCATCTCATGCATTATGCTTGCTATTTTGTCTTAGCAACAATGGACTATGAAAAAGAGACATTATATTAATAAAACACCCTGCATGCTGGACATGTATGGTATAATTATTTTTTTTCTTTTGCTTGGAAATGGACTTTTGGAGACTATTATGGCATGGCATTCATCCTTTTGTTTTATTGCCTCATCACTTTTTTGAGTTGAAAGCAAAAAAGTGCAACCTTTGATCTTCCTCCTCTTCCTCCCCATTAAAGTTTGCGTCTGCTCTAAAACTGCTTTGAGTTACTCAAAACTTCAGACTTCCTTTTAAATGCACTGAAGCATTCCCTGTTCTAAAAAATGCCAGAATGGATTCTGATAACCTAATGTGGCAAAAAAAAAAAAAAGAAAAGAAAAAGAAACTTTGGAAAGATGTTTTTCTTTTTAAAAAAATCGCTTCCCAATTTGGGGACTTTAAAACCATGCTGTTGCCTAAAGCAGTCTAAAATTTATCTTTACGTGATCTGCCCCAAGTTTATTTCCTTTTTTTCTTTTGCATCTGGTCATTGTCAAATGTGAATGCTCTGGGTTCCTAGTATATAATTTAATTCTAGTTTTTATCATCTGTACGCCCAGTTAAAATGTATGCTACAGATAAAGGAATGTTATAGATAAATTTGAAAGAGTTAGGTCTGTTTAGATGTAGATTTAAATACAAAAAGATTGATGCACTAAATTGTTTACTGTTGTGATGTAAAGGGGGGTAGAATTTGCAATGGGACTGTTTTTTAAGAGTAGCTTATGCAGCATGTGCTTGCAACTTAAATATAAGTTGGGTATATGTAGTTCTTGCTATACCACTAACTGTATTTGAAAACCAAAGTATTAAAAGGGGGAGGCACCCCTGTTTATATCTATAGGGGTATTTTACATTCAAAATGTATTTTTTTTTTCAAAATTGAAGTATTTGGGACTGAATTGCACTAAGATATAACCTGCAAGCATATAAAAAAAAAAGACAAACCTGTTTAGAACGCTAATACAGTTTATGCAGTTATAAAGATGGCATTACTGCACAGTTTTAAGATGATGCAGATTTTTTTACAGTTGTATTGTGGTGCAGAACTGGATTTTCTGTAACTTCAAAAATTCCACAGTTTTAAAGGCAATAACCAGTAAATTTTATTTTCAGGGACTGATATCCTGTCTTTTAAAAAAAATGGAAAGTAAATCTTACCACAATAAATATAAAAAAATCTTGTCAGTTACTTTTTCTTTTACATATTTTGCTGTGCAAAATTGTTTTATATCTTGAGTTACTAACCACGTGTGATGTTCTTATGTGCTTTTCTTTCATTTTCAACTTTATGGTTATATCAAAAGAGAGAATAATCTACAATAATAAACTGCATTTTTTTGATTCTGTACTCAGTTTTTTAGTGTGTAGTTTAAAAAGTTAAACAACTATGAAAGCAGTATCTAAGCCTAATACATTGCAAGGAAGTGATGCTGATACAAGAGTTGAACCCACTGATAAAAAGGAGAAGAGAAGTTAGTGATCAGTTATATGTAAAGTGGAAAATTATCACCCACTAGAAATTAGTTATATGTCAGGCAGGTGAAAAACGTGATCTTTCAGGTACTTGGTATAATTTCTCAGTTTTGTAATGACTTAGAGAGCCTTAGTTGCTATGAGTCATATCGTGCCATCAATTTCAAGCCATTGATCTCAAAGGGAAGTTCTGCTGAAAAACCTGATAACACGATATGGTCCTATATTTTGATTGTTTTATGATGGAGTAGAGTGAAAGGGAAGACTTAACATCCTCTTATCATCTGATCCAAGCAGAACAGTTTGTATGTAGTAAGAGATGACACCGCGTCAGGTTTTTCTTGTCACATATTCATTTAATGTTAGAGATAAAGAGTTTTGGACATTTGGCGGATACCCCATTCTAACCTCCCTCCCCTCCCTTTTCCACATCAGGGTTTTCTTGTCAGCCACAGGCCTTAGAAGGTTCACAGTGAATTTAGGAGGGAAAAATAAAAAATCGAAGGACTTTCAAGTTATTTGTCCTAAACAAACACTCAAAAAGATTAATTTGCTAAAAAATGTTAAGGTCCAAAGGTGTGCTCTTTACTATAGTTCTGCATGCCAAAGGACATTTTCAGCTTTGAATATCTCCTAAAACAATTGACCCAATTATTTTACAGTTACTTTCCCTAGCAGCTCCCAAATAAGTAGAGAGGTTTTCATAGCGTTTTCTCCAGTATTTGAATAGGATTAACTTTGTAGTTCATTTGAAAAACTTAGGCCTCTCTGAAGAATGTTACAGCTTCACTTGAATTTAGCTTTATCTCAGGCTCATAAAAACCAACACTATTTATAAATTTCTTCTAAATTATAAAATAACCCCCAGTATATGGAGAGAGTGGAATTTAAAACATCACAGCAAACTGCACCAGAATTCTGTTCTTGGGGGTGGGGGTTGAAACAGCTGTTTCTCAGAGAAACTGCTCCAGGTTGGGTCTTGCACTGTTTACCCAGGCAGAGTTCTCACTGATTTCAGGTCAGGACTGAAGGATCGGACCCCTAAGTCATGCTCTGCTCAGGAAGGCCGAGTTTCCCTTAAAACACAACAGGTTGTGTCAACAGTCTCATCGAGGGGGGAGTTCAAGCATTGATTTCTGACTGAATCAGCTCCCATTAAAGTCAATGGCAAATAAATAAATCTGTGACTTCAGTGGTAGCAGAATGGGTCCTTTCAATGGGAAACTTTTATGGAGCTTTGGAACTGGTCCCTGGTGTTAACCAATTCTGTTCTATATTCGCCCCTCCTCCTGAACACGAAGTCAATGGAGTGCCCTTTGGCATTTGACCTTCTGTTACACCACAATTTGAGTAATGGTTCAAGCTCCATATTCTGGTTAATTGGAGCTTCATATTCTAGTTAATATGTAATCTGAGGGTAAACTGGCTGCCATTGGCTGATTAGAAAATTATCTGCTCTCGTAAAGATAGCAACTTTTTCTCCTTCTTGAAATGTTTAAACCTCTATTAGTGCCCACATTTTTCATAGCGGTCACTTAGGGACTGAATTATTCCAAAAACATTCACAAGTATTGATATTTTCAGTAAACTGATAAGCACCTTACATTTAAAATTACCTTTTAAACTAATACACTGCAGCTAGTTTCTTAGGCACAGATGCAGAGCCCCTCTTATGTGCAATCAATTTGTGGCACAACATTAACCCTGTTAATACAATAGATCTTATAGTTTAGTAACATGAAAAGGTGTAAGCAGTTACTAGGTTTACAGTAGTATTTTGAGTCCAAGAAGAGGTGATAGAGCAAATGAAACATTGCTCTTTCTGGGTTTTGCTTGGTTGGTTTTAGTACACCCACAGTATAGGTAAAGGTTTTATGAACTGAGCTAAGAAAAGCCTTCCAAGAAATAGATTGTCAGAGGGAAAAACACTCCAACAGAGAAAAGGCTGGTCCTTTTCCTAGCCCATGAACCTAACATATCAGTCTTTACTTCAGACTTAAAATGCATTGTCTTCCTTAGGCTGTATTTTAATCTCTGTCTGAAATACTGTTACATTGCAACTAAAGAAAAAAAAACCCACTACAAGCAAGTTTTAATAACCACTAAAGCAAACCATCTATTGGGGTTCTGTATGAATTTAAGGGGAGATCACACCTTTCCAGCAGAACTGCTTGCTGAGAACTAATTGGAACAGATCTGCTCTGAATAACCTATATTCATTAATCACCCCTTGCTTGGAGCATTCTGGCTTGTATCCTGCTAAGCCTCTCACTAAACTCAGTGCTAAAATTCCCATTGATTTGAATGGGGAGCAGGAGTCTGTACCCTTTACTGACTTCTCACTCATGTAAATCTCTTACTGAAGTCAGTGGAAGCTTTGCCTGAGTAAGGAGATATGTCAAAGGAGATAGTTAGTTCTTACTCTCCACATCGTTAACAGTGTCCCATTTCTGCCATCGCCCTATGGTTCTTTCTCATTTATTACCTACATTGCAAAGAATGTTCATTAAGATGTGCACAAAAGAGGCGACCCTTTGCTCAGTTTGAAATATGGTTCCGTGTGATACAAACCCCCCGCCCAACTCTTAAGCTTTTTCTAAAATGTAGCATAACCCCCTTCCCAACATCAAGGATTCGGCTTAGTGGAGGGAAATATTTCTGTGTTTGTACTACAGTATTTTCCCTGCCTCCGCACACATGAGCACATCTGAAAAAGGGAAAATATTCCTAGCCACCTGAGTGTATTTTTTCTTTAATAACTCTCTGCAATTGC